AATTGTTTATATGAATATGTTAAATATACAAAGTATTCTGGCATATACAGATGCTTTTGTTCAAAGAAACCTATCAGATAAATACATACAAATTTTATTTTTTCTGTTATAAAGTGATAGAAACAATCATGTTTAAAGATAAATTTGCCCTCAAAATCCTCAATGAATCCATATTCCCACCTACCAAAGGCACTAAATTAAAACTCGATAACTACCCTTTGATCTGTGGAGCGGCAGTATAGAGCAAGGCGGTTCTAAGTTGAATTCCCAAGTTTCTTCGAGAAGAGTGTACAGATCTGGAACTATGAAGGAAGCAAGGTACAGTGCATTATTTCTTTAATGTATCCAACAAGTCTTTGGTGATTTTTCCGTATTCTGACTATCACAACTGCATTAAGTGAGAGGTAAAGGCATCCAAATTTTGCAGATGCATCGTCAATAGCCATTCAATTTGAATGCAGCTACCATCCAAATTAACAGAAAACATTAGCCTTCTCTTTCCATCCCCACACTTTAATATATGATAGATTTATAGACTGTGAAGGCCTTTTCCACAAATGGCTCAAATCAACTTCCCGTGTAATGTTGACTAGTTTGTAGCTTAATGCTGAAAATCCTTGTAAACAAGAACGTAATTCTTTTGAGGGTAGGATTGTTGTTGGTTCATGTAGAAATTTAATGCTATAAATTCACAATAAAAATGAGGACAGTTCATGAGGCATCGATACATGAACTGAGGCACATAACATAACTGATTATAGACAAACAGAAAAGAGCTTTCAAAGGGGGTTGGTTTGTAGCTCAAAACTGCCAACAAGCAGACTAAAATTACAAATGTTTCTTGGTAAACATGCAAAATGAAGTTATTTTATTCATATAATTATTTGAAACTAACCCAAATGCATTATGCTATTTGATATTTATCATTTCAAAGCAAATAAGATAACATAGAAATGTTGATGTTAGCATTGTATTTTACAGGCAACATGGTACATATCTGCAAGTCTAAGCAATCTTTTTTGTGGTATAAAATTTAAAAATGGCTTTAAAAAAAGTCTCTTGTAGATAGAATACAGCTAGAGAAAGGTGAGCAAGAAAATAAAATAAAAATTATTAGTGGAATTTTTGGCTCATGGCGTATAAGATTGACCATAGGTTTGTTTCAAATTCCATGAAGGTAATTGCTATATTTAGATCTTGATATATTTCTCAAGCTGAAAAGGTCCTAGATAAGAGAAGTTGTTACATCAAAGAAAGACAGACTGCAGGGTCTTAACTGCTTAGGGCATTTGTTGTGAGGATCTGCTGTAGCCATTGAACAGCCAGACGGAGGAGTGGAAGATGGCATATCCCAGAACTGGCGGACTTCAACAGTTCTATCTGAGACACTGTCTGATTAACCTTAACAAAACCTGGCATGTGCTTTCCTGCCTTGTTAAGATTTGCAATCTGATTCAGAAACATTTTAAAGACAACCGTTGCAAACTTATCCTTACTTTTGTTGAGAACAAGCATAGAAAAACCATCCAAGTAAGATGAAATCAGATATTTTTGGTACCTCATTCCGGCTTTTGCTTTCCAGCATATAACAATATGTAGATGTGGGGAGGGTTTTATTACCTAATACGAGCTTTTTGCTGTTGCTGCAGAGCAATAGAACAGAAGGGCAATGTAAGGGTGATAGTAGTAGATCATTTGAAGGCTTAAGACTGTCTTAGTCATGAATCCCTTTTAGCAAAAAAAGGAGATGATCGCATCAGTAGTAAAGTATTAGATCTCCTTCATAACTACCTTTTAAATAGTTGGGGGAAAGTAAGTAGTAACTTCAATTGCTGGAAATTCACAGTAACTGGTTTTTCTCAAGGCTCATTTCTTGGGTCCCAATTGTTCAATATCTTCATTATTGATTTTTTGTTTTCCTATACAGAATTCCCAGATATGCAAATTGCTTATGATAATACAATTTTTTGCATGTCGCAAAGACATTGAGGAAATAAGTAATTGAGTGTTTTGAGTCTGGTCGAGAGGAAGTCGGAAGGGCAATTTTCTTTTAACAAAGAAAGTCTGATCATAGTTGATACAGTGTGAACCAACTATGGTCTGATGAGCATTTGTATCTGAATGAAGCGACATAGGTCTTCATTTATGCAAAAATTTTGACAAATTTTTGGTGATGTTTGACATTTTAAAGATTTCCTTGAATGCTGGAACGCAATGCATTGGATAAAGTGGCCAAGTGATGACGTATTAGACACTTTGTAACAAAGCATTTCAGCGTGTTCTTTGTGTTGTATAGCCATAATTGAAAGAATAAATATTATATCACAAGACGTCATCATATTGTCACTCTGGCAATGTGAAAATAAACGATTCACACAGCAAAGTTCTAAAATTATGTGGAATAGATGAAAATTTGAAATAGTTCAACATTTTGTGTTATGTCTTCGCTGTTTTACATTATGTTTCTGGGTTGTGGTATATTTAGGCAGTAAAGAACATTCGTTTTGGTTAATAAGGCGAACTGCTTGCACGAGAGCACACCAAAGTACATTGATTGATTACTGCCAAGAGCTTGCGGAAATGAATATTGTAAAAAACTGTATAGAGCATACACATCATCATGAAAGGCCTTAGATAAGTAGTGGCACTGCTCATATTACTCTTTAGTCAACATTTAGAAAAACACATGTATTCGTGTTTTTCTTAGGCAAACTAAGAAACAACTGAGTTAAAGACACGCTAAAAGTAAAGCAGAAACGTTTCCTTGACTTTGCATTGACAGTTCATTGAATATAGTTTGATTGTTTTTGCTGGGAAACTTCTGATAATGTATTGTAGTGACGGAAAATGAAGGCAAAGTGTGGATTATCCAAGGCAAATACATCATTAAGAACCTTTTAAGATCGACTGTGCCATTCACCTACAAATCACGGTGGACGAAATATGTAAACAAAAATAGTAATTTGCAGATTTTATTTTGTGTTTCAGGAAAATGCGATTATTCAGTTGCTTCTCTTCGTTTGTTGTTATACGAGCCGCCTACCAGTTGTTGTGTGGTCAACACGACTATTCTAACTAACACATGATGTAAACAGCGTAGTCCAATGTGTTAAAATCATTGAAGGAGACTTCATTTGGGACGTAAAAATCAACATTGTAAATGAAGAGATTGGATACTACGATGTTTTGAAAGTCGTAGCATCTCCATAAGGATACAAAGGTTCTGTGAAACTTTGCATTAACTACAGAAATATTTTTTCCCTTTTCTCAAACAAAATATTACTTGATGCAGTGATAAAGCTGACTATTGAATTAGAAAGGGCATAGTTAAATGCCTGTTATAGAATTTGATTGACTAGATTTAGCTAAACCTAGATGATCTCTGCCGTGGCTTGACTTCTCTGGCCAGCAGGAGTATACATATAGCGAAGTGTTGTGGTTCACAGCTTAAACTTTCATAAAGTTGGTTGAAGTTTCAGATTTAGACTAAATTGACGACTCTATGACTTTTCAAATATAAGCTGTTGCTCTACTCCCAACAACTGCTTTGCTAGGCAACAAATATTTATGGCCACTTTGCTTCAGCCTTTATCAAGTGAATGGTCCTAAAGCTGAATTCATTTGGTGACAAACACTTTGGATATCAAAATGTTTATTTAATGTCATAGAAACCAACCTACTACCATGAACTTATCAAAGTACATTGTTTGATGCAGGAGAGTTCTCTAATGTTGATAATCACGGTCTTAGTTATTCACCTAAAAGTTGGACGCAAGAACAGTTATCCAAATAGACTCTGAACAACTGCCTTTGCAGCATTTCACTTAAAAATGACAGCTTTGGCAAAAGAAGTAAGGCCTAGACTCGTTTATTGTCCTGAGACGTATGACACTAATCCTTTAAAGCAAATGTTATGTGTAAATCCCAATCCCCCGTCCTTTTAAGTGTTAAGATGTATCCTAAGAGTCACACTTTAAAGACACATTGCTGTACAATATGCTTTAGATCTGATCTGGTTTTTAGATCTGATTATGAGGCCACAGGCCTTTTTTCTGTCACGTCGAGCTTCAATGTTTGATTCGTGATTCCGTCACAATTGGTATTCAATAGCTCTCTTGCAAATATTCACCTATTTCCATTTAAATCTGTCCTCGTTTTTGTAAATAAGCGTTTTTACCAAACACTGATATTCTGAAAGTAAAGATAGATCAATGGATACTCTGCCAAGCTCTTTTGAAATGTCCAACCCTGCTGGCAAAGAAAATATTACTTAAGCATCATAATATTTACCCAGCCTCTCTATGTTAGGAAGCGATAGCAATAATAGAGATGAACGATAAACTCATCTAAATCTTACAAAATTTGTTTTCAGCAACCAAAAGAAGAGCAAAAAAATTTGGTATTTTGAAAAACATTGGATTTTCAGAATCTTTCAAGCTTTCAACCAACTGGAAACTCTTACACCAGACTTTAACAAAAGCTTAAAAATATGACTTAATATCGGTAAGCAATAACTTTATTTATAAACCACGTGGGTATATTGTGGTGGTCTAAGGGTTTTGCAGTAAGTAGCTTCACACTGATTTGTTGGTCTAAATAAATTTATTTTGATTATATCGCCTAACAACATACATATTGCATTAGTTGAAAACAGCCAAGTAAGAAAACTTGTTCTACTTTTTAGAAGTTATGCAATTTCTGTCAAGAAAGAGAAACAAGATGAGAGATAGCGAGAGGAGGAACTTTTAAGGGAAGAACTCTAAAACGGGATTTTCTCTACTTTTCCACAAAGACCCTAGCCTCTGACTCAACATATTGCTCCACTTACTCTCCTTGAAGACATTGGCCACTGAGTGAGTGAAACGTTAGAAAGGCTAGCTTTCTTAGATAAGACAAGAAGTAAATTCTATAGCTAGGCTACTTGCCTCGAAATACGACATTTGTTAACAGTTGAAACCCTAGGGTCGTTATAAATATCATTAATTTCAAAACACCAGTTTCGACGATTTCGTTTTTCTATTCGTTTATCTATGCGGGTGTTTGCACAAATACAGATGCTTTGCGAATGATGTGTTAACAAATATTTTGCAATGTTTGAGCATTCTGCTTACGAATTTACCGAGCAATCTTTCTATATGCTAAACATCTGTACTTAGTTTACAGAAAAATTGCAATCTCGCACATTTGACAACTAAATATGGAAGAATGCAAATTACTTGCAGAGCAGATGACATGCTAATGTAAAAGACTTAGCAGTAATTTTGAATATTGAAAGCTGGTCATAGATTAATACATTTCAACGTAAGTACAGGTTAGTCCTTTTCTTGTAAAAAGTCGTCAACATAAAATGCAAAGCAAGTTGTGATGGCATCTCATTTGGTCATTGGGGCAGAAAATTGATGACAGAGAGAAAATTTCGTCAGCTTTACATTTTCTAGGCACGCCTTCAAATGCACAGTCAAAACAAAGGTGTTAAAGCAGCATCTCTGAGCATGCATACAGTGTATAATTACTTTACAATTTAAAATGAAAAATTGTTTTCTCTATACTCTCCAGTCGTATCAGTGTTCTACTTAAAAAACATTTACTCAGCACTCTACAATTATCGAAGCGAACAATACCCTCGTGTTTTATGGGGAATAATTGTCAACTCGCTAACGCTATTCCAAGAATAATGCATACAATGATGAGGTATTATACAAAATACTAACTTTAATATTTGAAATATTCAGTACACGGCTCGTACTATCTGACCCTGGGTATTGCGCAAAATAAGCATATAATAAAGTTTTTCATTGCAGCCACATATTACGTGTTGAATCTTTAATTCAAATGAAAATACAAAACCATTTTCTATTCTAATTGCAGATGGAAGTAACAGCTAAATCGCCATTAACACCAAGAGGTTTATCCTGTTTGGCTTTTGGACGCGCTATTTCCTCCATCGCGGCAGAATTTCTATTGATCAAATATTTAAAGGGATAATCCCAACCTGACTAGAATAGATCAATCTGGCGAGTGTTGAATAAGAATAAATTGGAGAGAAATCGCAGCATCGAGGTTATTGGAACAAGACAAGTGACATGAGAAGAAGGTAGGTCGTCTTAACATTATTACGAACATTTTCAAGGCTTTGAAAGTTGCATTGTATTCTTAGAAACTTCGTTTAACTATCAAACAACTTGTTTTTGATAGGGAATTCAGACACTGAAAACTTCAGTAAATTCTTTCACTCTTCGTGGGGTCATTTCTAAACGCGAAGCCCGAACACTGAACATTGTTTATTATAGACTCCAGAACCAAAATACACAACGAGAAACGGCTATTGTCGACACTTTTGAGCACTGGTCCTCCATCACGGCAATGTGTGATTATCGTTAACAAAGAGCCTGTGTTCAAGATACAGGTAAATTTCCACAAGCATCTAGTATTTGATCAACTCTCAAAGGCATCTAGCTTACTGAAAACTTCAAAGGTAGATTTTTGTCAGTTCAAGAAGACAACTTAATGAGGGCGGTTAACACGTTCCAGCACTTCTACCAAATGGAGATGGATAGTGATGCTCACTACATGGGTAATGATACCAAAATGACTTCAGCGCTTCGAGTTTGGTGCGTGTATACATCGTTAGGTTACGAAAAATCTCGCATATTCAAGATCAACTTGTTAACTGTTGCCGTTATGAATAGTATATTTGCAGTATCTGCAATAATCCTCAACGCTTTGGTACTGACGGCATTTCTTCGAAATCGCAATATTCTAAAAGGCTCTAATATCATTCTTTTTGGGCTATGCATAGCTGACTTCGTCAGTGGCGTCATTGTACAAGTTCCTATTTCCGTTGTTCTCTTCATGGTTTTCGCTCGTGGAAACGAAGGCATGGATTGCATTTTATTAACCTTTGCCTCAATTTCAGGATATATATTTGTTGGGATCTCTCTTTTGACAGTTTCGTTTGTTTCTCTCGAAAGATTTATCTCAATATTTTACCCGTACGTTTATGAGCGCGTCTTTACGAAAAGTACAATGGTGTTCGGTTCTATTCTCATCTGGTCTGCGATGATAGTTCTGAACTTATACTGCTTTTTCGCGCAAGAGAGGATGGCATTTTATGTAGTCCAGAGCGCCGTTATATCTTTAACATACGTATGGACAATTATTGTCTACTTCAAGATTTTGAAGCAAGTACGTAAAATAACGAAAGCGGAGGCAGAACTTACGCGGCGCTTTCAGAAGAAAGAGGCCGAAAGAGAGCTGAAGGCGAATCGCATTGTCAGGTTCGTGATCCTGTCTCTTTTGACTTGCTATTCATTGCAAGTAGTTGTTGCCATGTTTCAATCACTGGGCGGCAATATACGCGTTATCGACAATTACGTGTATTTTTGGTCGTTTACGTTTGGGATCGTCAATTGTAGCCTTAATCCGTTGATCTACTGTTATTGTAACTCGGAAATCCGTAAAAAGGTTTACGAGTTGATTCGATTTGCAAAAAGAGGCATCGAAACTTCAAGTGAGACTTTCAGGCCTACACATAACCAAGAACCAGTCGGAAACAATTGAGGCCCGGAGTATTATTATGGGATTGTATCTTCAGCACAAGTCCAAATATCATCGCAGTTTATGGCGACATATTGGAAGACACACAACAAACTTGTGCAATTTAGCAGAATTTTAACAGCACTTGACACGTAATTCAAATGATATTGACATTTGTCCACCTTCGTGACAATGAATGGAAGATGAATGCATGACTGTTAGTTGCTCATTACTTAACTTCAGATGCAGCTGAGGAAATGATCATTTACTGAAAGGGGAAACGAACAGTGTACACATTTACTTGAGCCTTTGGACAAAGTTTCATGTTTACCATTTATTCGAGAGACTTTAATATCATATAAAATATTTTCGTAACTAGCTACAAAATATATCACATTATATAGAAAGCTTTAAATCTATCTCAAATAAAGCTTTCATTTAACCATTGAGGAGTTGGCAACTTATTTTTGTTTAAAATTGATTATCACTATAACTGTAATCAATAACAGCCTACTTTGATGTATTCAACGAAGAAAGCTGCAAAAAATAATATTCTCATTACTTTGCGAGAGGAAATGACAGCTGTTCCATTTCTAGCATTGTACTAAGGCATCGCTTTTACTATTGAATGGTTCATTCATAAACTGCCAGTGAATTGTAAATCATTAGGCCCTGTGAAAGTAATATTACACTATGGTCATGGAAATTGCAATAGCTATACCATATAACAATAGTTTGTGATACAGATGCAGTTATAAATGAAATTGCAAGATAGCTTTTGTCACACAGAATTTGAGCCTTAAGTGTATTTTAATATGCCAGTAGTCGAAAATTGGGACACTCGTCCGTGTGTCATTGAATGACTGAGATCGAAAGAGAGAAAGTAAAAACAAGCAGAGAAAGGGCAAAGACAGCGTTAGTTTTAAGGGGCCAGGGGTGTACACAGATGCAGAAAGTGTTACCTTAAACAAACTTGACAAAGACGACAAATAGCCGATATCAAAATTAAAAAAATCTTAAGATGAAGGCCCGACTGAATTTTTACTACAGTTATTCTTTAATCTTAGGTTTTTTACTTGATTTGGTGTTCGCAATTGAAATTCCTTTATTTTTACCGAACGATTCCTACATTCTGCGAAAAATTATTTCAGATGGTCGACTTTCTTATAACACAACAATATTGAAATCACATCACCACAAAACAAATTTACAATACCACAATATGGTAACAAAACGACGTAAGAGTAACCCCCGCTGGAGATCTGAACAATTTATAGTGATTTGTATGCGGCACAATTCCATAAAATGCAGAATCTAGCTGTAGAAAGTTTCATTGCCCATTCAGCAAAATAATAAAGCTGGTTCGCGATAAGAATAACAAAATCAACATCAATTTAATTTTTGTAGAAGCGATCAATGGTGGCATCAAAGGCAAGTCACTTTTGATTAGGGAGTTAATTAGCCCCTCCCCCAAAGTGTAAAAATATTCGTTATTCTCCTTAAAATTGATAAATGAGCGTTTTGAAGGATTAGATATCTGGGGTAACCAGAATTTTTAGAAGGGAATAGCATGGAAATGATGCACCAAGAGGGTCTTTTTCTAATATTCAAGGGTTTCACGCCAAAATAAAGTAAATCGAAAAACTTCACAGAGGAGTAAGATCAGAAAGAGATGAATTAGAATTTGTCGTAACTAACCTGAGGCAAAATGTTAAATTTCAATATGGATACCCACGACAGTAAAATATAAACAAAATTACAATTTTCCTATTAATATCTACTTCTAATAAAGTAAAAATCATATAGCTTTAGGAACATAAAATCACAGATAAATTTTCAAAAAGTCAAATAACAAAACATTAAATTTAGTCCGCTCTATCGCGATAATTCTATTTTCTATTTGCTTCAATTCTTTGATCTAAACTAATACTAAACATCATATGCTGTTTTTCCACTAACTGCTCTAAAGTGTTTATTCTTTGTTTTTGCGATTCATCAGGGCCTCCATTGACCGCTAGCCTTGTCTCAAAGTCCAACTGCTTCATTCGAAGCTTTTTCAAGTCTTCACCTCTGGTGTCGAATGCCATCGCTACCATGAGCCTGAATCCAACGCAAAAATGTCAAATTACATCTCTCTTATTCAAGATCAAAATTCAATAAAATTCTTCAACGATCATAAAAAAACGGAAACCGTTAAAAACCAGCTGAATATTAAGATATGAATAGTTTATTCTATTGGATTTTTTGCTACGTTCCTGTGTTGAAAAAATCGGTAATGTTTGGACCAACGTTAGTTTGAGTTCAACATTTTGCAAAGGAGATTGCCAGTGAGCTTTCATAAACTGCCATCTAATAAATATCCTGAACAAGCTATATTTTTGCTTAGTAGAAAAAAAACTAAAATCAAATTAAATCCCAATTTTTAGTATTTACACATGACATATTTGCTGGTCAAACAAGGTGCCAAATCAAGTCTTCTTAAATTTGACCAGACAGAAAAACAGCTGTATAAATTATTCAATTAATCGTGCTAATTAACTTTTTCAAAGATTATGCATGGAAAATCTTAATCGGAGCCTTACTGGTAGCCGAGTATTTTTATCAGAGAAGGCTCAAATCAAATATTAGTTTACCTGACCAAATGACCTGAAGTAGATTCGCATATAATTTTTTAGCTGTACGTTGCCATGTCCTTGTCAGAAAGCAAGCAGAAAGTACAAGATTTGAAGTTACCTGGCTACTTGCCAAATCCCCCCTCTCATATTTCTTGGGTATCGAGCATTTTTGCTAATTACCAAGTTTACATGCTATGGCTGGAGCACTGATAATGCTAAGCATATTAGGCAAGAACAGTGGGCAAGAACATAACACCTATGGCCTAGAATTCTTCTACATAAATGCAACGATATTCAAACCAATACATATCACTAACATCCACAGTAAAAACAAACATCAAAGCCCTAAACCGACAACGACACACAAACTGACCCCACCAGTGCTACCAGACAATTAGGATAACCAAACAATTTATTGGATAAGAAACAGCATTCATAATATTAAATAGCTGACCGAAAATCTGAACAAATAAAATGCTTCTTTACTATGTACCTTTCAAATTTGCTTCTCCTGTTGATGAAGTATGTGTACTTTGGAATATATACAAAACGCTGAAGGAAATACTTTGGCAAGATTCCTTGGACGCTTTCAATAAACTCTAGTTGCTGCTGAAGGATGCTGACAGTCGCAAGATTACGAATGTTCTCAATATCCCCAACCGCCAAACCTACCTAGAAAATAACACACAAATAACATCATCTACAATCGACAAATACCAGGACCAATACTTTGACACAAAAAATTTCGCATTGGACCAACTATTAGGGGTAAAACCCCTCCCCCTTATGGCCAATATTTTGTCTCTGACAGACACACATCCTTTAATTATTAAAATTTTAGACCTCGTTCAAAACTGCAAATTTTTAGAGTTGCAGAGAAATTAAATGTCACAAAATGTATGTGACATCTCGTGGAAAATATGCCAGTATTTTGGAGGAAAATAGCAGGGTAGTGTTTAAGTGCTGAATAAATGCTTCGTGTCATAAAAAGCCTTTAGCTGAAACACGTAAATAGCAGATTACTATTATCCATTAACGCAGAAAATGCTTCAACGTAAAAGGTGTGACTGTAAGTGCCATTTTTCTGCATGGCATGACAATATGAGAGAAAAATTTGTCAACAAAGAAAAAGATATGCCTATTCAAAGAGATAAATGGGTAGCGAGCAGCTAAAATTAAAGATGCTTGTAAAAATAATAGTGCACTCACCAAAAGATTCGTGAACGCAACTGCAACCAGGAAGACAAAGCAGATGAATATCACGTAGGACAAAGTTGGGTATGGAACATACAGGATGTTCGATCCATCTTTGGTACCAAGCCGAGAACTGATAGCGTCCTCAAATTCAAACTCACCAGTCACCATGACTAAAACTTTCGATACACTGATGAGAGGGCTGTGAAAAGCTTTCTGTCTGATGAACAGCAAGTAGAACGACAAAGTAAATGAAAGAATTATCAGGCCGAACACCACCAATAGTTTCAAAATTGTGATACACACAGTAACAAACATGACAATGTACAGGCGGAATAGCGGAATCCGTTGCAAGAACAGCAGTGTGTTTCCCCAACCCAGAAAAATGCATATGATTCCTGTCTCGTACAAGTTCTCTGTCACAGTTGGGTTAAATATGAATTTTATCACAAAATATAAGGACGTGGCGTATAAAACAATTTCGATATAGTTCGCAATACTCGCAAAGTATCTCCAGCCTAACACCACAAACTGCAATAACTCTTTCAGTATTTGTATAGCGCAGAATATTAAAATGAAGTAACCGAACACTTTTCCAATTTTTTTCGATGAAGGCAAATTTTCGATGAGTTTCCGGACTTCATTTGCTTTTAAGTCTGATGTGGTGTTCAGCTTTGCCTTTTCCACTGAGATAGCTATGAACCTAAGGAAAAGCATTGAAACCTTATTGGCTCTAATATAACAAAAGAGACAAAATCTCAAGGTCTATATACATGTTTGTGTCAACTGCATATCTCTTAAAATAGCATATTTCTTCAGTGTTCTAATTCCAATGTCGAGCAAAAAATTGTACACGGTTAAGCGAGTTGAAACATACATAAGGTGTCAATGAACAGAAAGCTAAGATTCCCAAATGCATCTACTTAGACTTTTTCTGATGACGGTAAAGGGAACTGTAAAATAAACTGAGTAGTGAGAAAATAAACTGAGCAAAGTAAGATATTTTGAAACGATTTAAAAGTTATCAAAACTTAAAGTACAAAGATTTGGATATCTGTTCATAGTGATATTTGCATTAACGCAAGAGTGCTGTGGAGTCTGAAACAAACTGCATAGCATTAGACCCTGTTTACACGAGGCCTGCACCAGATCGGATCCAAAACTATCTTGATACTTCCAAAGTGCTTACCGTAAATCCTCGAATTAACCCCCTGGGGGCTTATTTAGTTTTGATATTTTTGAATGGGGGTTATTCGGGGGGCCTTGTACGAGTGGGCTTATAAAATTATAGTATTCCTTTATGAACATTATCAAAAGTATGAATTTTTGTAGTAATTCAATAAATCGCCAAAGGCAACTTCGGATGGCAAAAACAACAATTCGAGAGGGGATCAATTCGAGGATTTGTGGTAGCAGTGGGGCTTATTTGAGGGGTGGCTAATTGACAATTTGTAGTTCTAGGGTGGGGGATTTTTCGAGGGGGGGGGGCAATTCGAGGTTTTACGGTATACGGAACAGATCCAAATAAACATAAGCAGACCCAGATTAGACCCACACAGTACACCTATATGCATTTTAAAATTGGCACCGACAACCTTCTTTAAAGAAAACCGTCAAGGTAGGGACGTGAAAGGATCCGATCTGGTCCACATCCAACAGTCAACACAGGATCCGGGCGAGATTCCATTTATACAGGATCGCCTGTGAAAGAGAGCCCCACGGTGTTCGGATAACGATCAAAAAAGTTTTAATAAGTTAAGATCAATCCGTACTTCTTTGAAACGGATAGGATCCACTCTTGTGCAAACGAGGTCTTGAGAAATCAAAATCATTATGTCAGAGAAAGTATGTCCTTTATGGTTTAGTCAAGACAGGTCTCATGGAACATTTCGGCAGTTTATATACAACGAATATACTTACACTTTCCCCTCCAGCATTATGAGTACAGTCAAGGAAACGATGAAAATCAGATATAGGAGAAAGCTCAGGTAGTAAACGTATCTGCAAACACGTTGCCATTTAATCTCGAATAAACTCGATATAATGGGATGTGACATGAGACTCTCTCTGCCAAACTCCGCCAATATATTGGGAGCAAAATACAGTCCGTTTCGACTTTTTTTTAGCACTGCACACGTGTCCGAGAGAATTGACTGCGTCTTAGGACACTCTTCCAAGAACTGATAGTCAAACGTTACGGAGAAATCTGGATGTTCTGGATGATGATCTGAAAATTTCGTTGATCGATCAAGCACAACCTCTGCTTGGTCAGGGTACCTTTCAACTAGCTTTTTCATAAAATGTTGCCCGTGGCTATCTTTGCTGGACATAACTTCTTCCCATCTAAAAGAGAGACAAATTAAGCAAGCTTTCACACTTTAGAAGATTTAAGGAAATTATGGCTGGAGAAAATTTGTACTCTAGGAAATTGTCACCGTCATCCAAAAATTTCGTTTTTATGGACAGTCAACACAAACTTGGATAATGACGGTACTGCACGAAGATACTCTCTGTTATCTATTGAAAAAGCTGTTTTTGCCTAAACATTAAAAGATCTGAAACAACTGCAAAAAGTTACCTATCACTCTCCAAAACTGCTTTACAGACATCAACTTTGCGGAGATCGATTGCCAAATCAAAAAAGTTGTCTCCGTCCTCATTTATTTGCCTTATGTTAGCACCTAGCTCTATCAGCAACATGACACCGCTGACATTTCCTGCTTCAGCAGCAATCATCAATGGGGTATTGCACCAGTCATCTTCTTTGTCTAATTCTGTGCCACTCTCCAGCAGGATCGCTAGAATTCTAGCATCATCATGAGTAGCTGCGTGATGCAAAGCAGTCCAACTTGATTTATCAGCTAGGCCGACGTCTCCACCATTCTTAAGTAATACCTCACAGGCATTTCTAGAATGGCGATCGCAAGAGCAAATAAACGATAAGAAAGGATAACAAAACTTTGCCTAAGCGTCACCTGACCCAGTGATAAAAAAATAGCGCTGATATGTAATTAGCAAGCAAATTCTTGATGTGTACACGCATATTTATGGCCCAATGCGTATCCTTCTGACGGTTAATCATAACGCCCCAGCTATTAAGTGAACTTTGTTAATAAGACCCTACCCTTTAATAAGCCTTCATCTGCAGAGGACAATTGTTGTGTTAAAATAAGCCCCATGGACGCTTTATTTAGATACTGCAGGAAAATACACCATGATTGATATTACATTCTGCGGAGAATGAAAAAACTAAAATAGCCGAGGAACTTATGACAGCTACAAGCAAGTAAAATAAAATCTCCATGTTGAAACTCTGGAATCGCTTGTGGTTTAAAAGGCAATAAAATACCAAAAAGGTGGTGGTGTATGAAATTGAGGCAAGCTCAACATTTTCCCTGAAACTTCTTCTTTGATTCCTTTCTTGTTAGTAACGAACGTTTCCTTCCTTACTTTCATTCATTATTTTTACCCTTTCAAACCTGCAGACATCAAAATAAGACAATAGTCTTCACGTTTACTTTCAAAACTCAGAAACCTTCCTAGATTATCTGTGGTCAGACGGTCTCTAGAAAAATTACAAACAAAAATTGTTTATAAAATGCTGTAAGACATATAGATTTTCTACAAACGAGAAGGCGATCGATATAACTGCTAATAGCTGATGTAAAAATGAGGACCAAGGCAATAGTGTGAAAATATAAATGAAGACAAATCTTCGTTGAGATTTCTCGATTTCTTTTAAAACACTTTCAAAACACTTTAATAGTGGAATTTGGAAGTACTTACAATAAATTACTTAAAAAATGACTTACAGTTGTTTTGCGATAACAGCGACATGTAATGGCGTTTGCTGGTCCTGATTTGTACAATTAAGAGTTTCTTTCTCAGCTTCTTTGGCAAGCACTTCGATACATGACGCATTTCCATACTTGGCTGCGAGGTGCATGGGGGTATCTCCATTGCAATCTTCTTCGTTCAATCGCATTGTTTCGCTCTTGAATAATCTTAAGATCTGTTGGACAGGAATGTTTACATAAATAAAACTTCTTTTGAATATCATCGTTGATCTATTTTTGTGAAAAACGTAATCCAAATCTCAAATATTGAAGATTTACTGCAAAATTGAAGATTACTATCTGTGAAAACACTTGAACGAGTTTTTGCTGTGCTATAAATATCAGGAGCCTGGCAAAGAAATTTCCAGGTATAAAAAATTGTTTAGAGGGTAGTTCATGTGTTTCACAGGAACTTTTTTGCAATACCTTTGTTAGACTCACTAGTGAAACTTAATCAAACCTCTGCATGTCCATATTGTGCTGCATAGTGAACAGGGGTTCGATCTTTCATGTCCACATCATAAATAAGAGTTTTCATACTTTTTAGAAGCAAGGACGCAAGCTCATAGTTTCCACTCTTAGCTACATAATGAAGGCTGTTCTTCAAATTAACATCTTTAACACTGCACGTGGCTCCACATTCTAATAACAAAACAGCAATGTCAGCACAACCATTTATGGCAGCAAGCAGAAGGGGAGTGAGGCAGAACTCATCTTTGGCATCAATATTTGCATTATATTCAATTAATGCATGTGCTATATTCCTATTACCAGCTTCCACTGCCCTGCAAAAGAAAATTTTTCTTAAAAAAGGTTATGAATAAAACAGTATTGTGATGATTCTATTAGATATAATTTTATCTTATTACTTTAAATCCTATAGATATACAGTGAGACAAACATTGTCATTAACAATAATAAAAATAAAAATTAACAGGGAGCTCTCATCACAGAAGTGTTATTCAGAGAGGTCCCATTTGAAGAGACTGGAGGGTAGGGTCTAAAAAAGTGATCCATATTCTTTACAATTCAATGCAGGGGTCCTTCAGGCTTTCATAAGACAGATGCATATGGCTGCAGCCCCCTTGGATACACCTAAAACTGCCACTAATTATGAAAAGGAAATATCAAAGGTACTAAACTGTTAACAAGTTCCTACCTATATTTACAAAATTTCTTGCAGTTGAAATGTATTTATGGATAATAGAATGAATGGTGATTATTGAAAATTACAAATTTATATGTTGAATTTTCAAAACACAATCAATGCACACAACTATTATCAATCGATACCAATGCAAAGCTGTCCGTTTGTGTCTGTCCTGCAAATCAGTTGGTACTCCAGCTTTGAGCAGAAGCTTCACTGCATTACAATTGCCACTTGATGCAGCTAAATGAAGCATAGAGGTATTGTTTGATGTACAAACTAGAACATCACAGCCCATATTGATAAGACCCTCCATGATTTCAAAAGCCCCTAACTGAGATGCTATGTGAAGCGCTGTTTTTGAATCATTTCTTCTCCGATTGAGTAGGCCATCGTGGAAAATTTTTGAATCTGCATATGAATACAACAAGAATAAGTAAGATCTCTTCATATGAAGGTCATCTAACATCACAGTTGACAGGTGGCTAGCCTAACAAAGGGCCTATTTCATTAGGGTGTGGTAAAAATATTTTCGTGTGCACCCACAAGGAGTCGCCAGAAATACATCCAGTTGATGGCAATTCATACATCAATCAATACACAAGTGAGCAGCAGTAATATTTCCACTTTAAATCCAAACATTTTAATGCATTGTGATGCTTAATTTTGTAGTCGCCGGAACAAAAATAAAGATAATTAACATGTCAATGGATAAGGTAATTTCAGGTGTGTCTAGATATAGCTCCAATTAAGCCACCTTAGGTATATAAAATATAAGAGGCTCTCTAGTTACCAGGGCCGTAAATCTGTCATGTGAATTGGGGGGGTCAGCAGAACGAATGAATATAAAGTATGCAGTGGGTCATGGCACCACAAGGGATTTATGGTAGGTGTTATGGAAACAGTCGAGGGGCAAATTACTTTCAAAACAAAAGTCAATATTCTTGGATTTCTCAAGACTTTCTGCTCTATAGAAGGTATTTACAGATATTCCTTAGTACATTGACTTGTGTGTATGATTGGATGGATAACATTTTTCAAAGACGGATCCAAGAAATTGAACCTTGGGAGCTAAAAATCAAGTTTACTGTCGTAGGAGGACCCACCATGGTTGGGTCCGACACGGGAAATTTTTTTTGAAATTTTACCTTCTAGAAAGGCTAAAAAAGCATCCCCCAGACTAAATTTAATAAAATACTAGAATCGCTCAGGATAGAAAGTTCAACGTTTCTCAGGCCATTTTAGGCCATTGTCACACATTGTGTAGGCCATTTTTACACACCAAAAAAGAATACATTTTAATGATACAAAGAGTGATCTACTAAATAAAAGTAAATAATAGACAAATAATAGAAATGTACGTAAATAAGTTAGTAAATAGGTCAAATAAAATGACAGATTGCTCTCTTTTTATTTCATACTCTGTTTTCAAAAATAAAACGGTAGAAAACAGTAAAAAACGGTAGAAAACGGTAAGTTTTTATCTTGTAAAAATTATAAAAACCACTCTGCTTACAAAAATAACCTTAGTGGCTGAGGTTTGTTGCAATAACACAGAAAACGTAGTTTGGTTCTAACCTGGCTACCAGGGATTACCTTCTTTCAAGGAAAATGTTTTGCTCCAGATTTTTGGGGGGGTCTAGTCCCCCCCATCCCCCCCTGGGATTTAAGGCCCTGCTAGTTACAAAATATTCTTATTTTCCAGAAACGAATCAAAATGAAACAAATGAAAAATGTCTAATACAAAAATTTCACCAATTACATACCCTTACTCTGCTCCTTTTGTGAAAAATATGACTGAATGATTTGGATGATAGATGAATTTTTCTCAGCAGTAGCAAGATGAAGTATGGTCTCTCCATGAGAATTGGCAGTTTCAGGTTTAGCACCGTTTTCAAGCAAAACCTTGAAACTTTCAAAGTCATTCCTTATTGTTGCATAATGCAGAGCTGTATTCATTTTCATATCTTGAGCATTCACCTCAACAAAATCTGTTTCTAATATCATCTCAACAATTTGGGACAAGCCATTTTTAGCAGCTAAGATCAATGCATTCAGACCATTTTCATCATAGATGTTTGGATTGGAACCATTTTTCAGCAGCAGTGTGGCAACTTTTATTTTTCTATGCCTAAGAAAGAAAAGACCTAATATTCAAAATTTTAATTATCTGTATCGTTGGAGGGAAATTCATATAGGGGGCTGCCCATTGTACTCTATCTCATTCAACACACTATTTTGAAGGAAATATACTAAAGTTTGTCATTTATTCGGGTGTTCCAGCTGCTCTAGCCCCACCCCTTTTTCCTACAGCCCTGGACAAAAAGAAATATTACATTTTGCCTCTGAGTTTATTGTTTTCCTTTGCCCTCATTATTGTATGAGTTTAGGAAGGAGAGGGTTTGAGAGGGGAACTTAACAAAGAAAAATGGCTTATGTTAATTTTCTGTTTCAATCTGGAAGAGGCCTCATGTAATGAATTGCATAAAACAATTAGACAAATGAGGGCTTCAATGGGAAAGCCAGTGTCAAAAATTATGATTAGGTAAATATGGAATGGAGGATCCAAATGATAAATTGGGAGTTGGCTTGGGGGTCCCAGTCTTCTAATAATGCTTCCTTTGAAGACGTATAAATTAATGGCTTATTAAGAACAAAAAGTTAAATAAAATTCTCAGTTAAAAATGTTATCAAATGACAACGTATGAAAAGACCAGTGACTCAACGATTGACAAAATACTGCGGCGGCGCAAAGAGCAATCAACTCATTCTCCTGCATATAAAAAGATGCATAATTGCAAATAGTGCTACTGACTTAATGGCAAGATGCAAAGCAGTAGAACCACAGGTTGCTTTGAGATCCAGTGACGCCCTGCCACCAATAAGCAAGGAAGTGGCCTGTTCAAAACCGAGCCTAGCCCCATAGTGCAAAGGTGCCATTCCTGTTTCATCCTGACGGTTGATATCCTCATCATTAACAGTTGCTAAAATTTCCTTCACTGTCGCAATATCATTTTCGGTGACAGCTGTATGCAATGTAAAGTCTTGAACGCCGTTTCTCCGTTTTATCCCACGGTTTAAGCGAGATTTTCGATTCCGAGCCAGACCAGTCGTTCTTCTTAGCAGCGAATATGAACCATTTTTCCTTTTGGGTACTTCTAGTTCATGATTCGCGCCAAAATTATGCAGCTCCATTTGTTTTCAGTTTATGTCTGCATTTAACTTGTTACTTTGCAATACCGACTGTTATTTGGGCTTGATCACGAAACTCTGTCAACAAATGCCTTCTAAAAAGGATATGAGCATATGAGGTACTTCCGTCTTTGTAGGCGCTATAGGCGTGATATTTGTTTCGAATTATCAATTTATCAAGCTGTGTGTCAATCATCCTATTATTAGAAAAACATGATCTGGGATGTCTGGGACAAGTGCAGCAAAGTTATGCCACTCTGTGGTTATGCTCAAAAGGCATTGGAAGCCTCGTGAGATTGACCGAGCCAACATTTTCGCAGATGTTTAAACAATACTTTTCGAAACAAAACATGGGCAAAAAGATCAAATATCTAATGCAGATAAAGGAGAAAAGAGATGCAGCCTTCATTTCACAATTCAATTTTAATTCTGTAATAGGGTAAATACCCCAATAGCTCGTCTGAGTTCCTTTTATTTGTCCTAAGCTTTATAATTGTAAGTAAATTAGTAAACATCAATTAAACTTTGATTAAAAGCTTGAATTTATTAAAATTGAATTGAGTTCAATTGAATTTAATTTCATTTCAATTCATTTCTCATTTCAAACTCTTAATTAGGGAGCCCTTCCATAGCCTCATAACCAGACCCGGTTTTCAAAGGAAATATTGTCTTTAAAATTTGGGTCTGGTGGTTATCAGGCAAGCCCTTCCACAAATACGAATTTTTTAGGGAACTCAAAAAAAATTGAAATATCATTGATATACACGCTTTTTTTATAAGGAACCTACCTCAAGGCCTAGTTCCAAAAGTTCAAATCATCAAATTGTAGTACCAAAAGTTTCTTGATAGTCCCTTAATTTTCACTGCACATCAAGTGCCGTAAAAAATGGTACAAAAACAGGAATAACATAAAAATTTTGAATTTTGCCTTTACTTGTGGCTAGAACTCAGGAACAAAAACATAAAGAAGGCTATGTATAGTGAAAATCTCACTTTCGGTGTTTTGACATAGCTAAGGGCTCTGAAACGATGATCTTGCGCACATTGTGATAAAAGCATACAAATCTGCACAACTATACAGTTTGATATGCCAAATAAGATGGGATCGGGATCCAGACTGT